ATCATGTTTAGGGTGTTAATTAATATTTCTAATATCATGTTACTAGTATTATGTTTAGGCCAAAGCTTTGATCTTTATTATTAGTGACATGCGAGGATTTGTTATTAATCCGTTTAGTATCATGCTTAGGATCTTACTATTAATAGTGTTTTGATGTTATTGTTATGATGATGATTGTTGTGTCAATTAATCATATGTATCTTGATTATTCATGATTTGTTGTTATTGCTTGATCACACCCCTTCTTGTAGGTTTAAAGGAAATTTGTACTTGAAACCACGCCTAATAAGGTAATTAATAATTTTATTTTCAGTAAATATGATTTTAATTCAAGTGATCACCAATAATAGATTTTATTGTGCATTAATAATCAACCTACGTAGATTAAATATGCTTAGGATTAATTTATTGCATGTATGTTGATCGAAAAGCGCACATGAATATCATAAGAATAGAGAGGGACTGATTTAGGGTGGGTTCAATCTCTTTTAGGCTGGATTCGTACCATTATCCCCGAACATCCAGTCATGGTTTCGGACCACTATGGAATTAGCGATCTTCGTGATCGTGAATAGGGTGTAACCTTCACACCCGAGAATGGTTTACAAGTTCTTAAAACTTGTTAGCGACTCTTTTATCTCTAGCTTCTTTCCTTTTGGACGCCACAATGCTTATAAGCATGATCACAATGGGGCTCAAGGTTGATTTTGAAAAATTCCCTACAAGAAGGTAGCATTTTTGGGATATTTTATATCTAAGGAGGGAGTGGAAGTAGACCCTGCAAAGGTTAAAGCTGTGAAGAGGTGGCCTACACCCAAGAATGTGTCATATATTCAAAGCTTCTTAGGCTTAGCTAGATATTATAGGCGGTTTGTGAAGGACTTTTCGAAGATAGCTAGACTTATGACTTCATTGATGAAGAAGGAATCTAAGTTCATTTGGAGTGATAAGTGTGAATAAGCATTTCAAACCTTGAAGAAGAGTTTAACAACATCGTCAGTGTTAACCTTACTAGATGGAAGTGGTTCTTATTATGTGTATAGTGATGCATCTAAGAATGGACTTGAATGTATTTTGATGCAACATGAGAAGGTGATTGCTTATGCATCGAGACAATTGAAGAAACATGAAGTTAACTACCCTGCTCATGATCTAGAGCTTGCAGCAATAGTGTTTGTGTTGAAAATATGGAGACATTATTTGTATGGAGTTAAATGTAGGATATTCACATACCATAAGAGTTTAAAGTACCTTTTCACGCAATCAACATTGAACATTAGACAACGTAGGTGGTTAGAATTCTTCAACGACTATGACTTAGATATCCAATACCACGAGGGTAATGCGAATATAGTCGCGGATGCTTTGAGTCATAAAGCAACTCATGAGGTGAACGCTTTGGTAGTGGAAGACGAGCTTTGTAGAGAAATGAGTAAGTCAAACCTCGAGGTAGTACCTCATGGAACGTTGGAATAAATGCTTATTAATTTGAGTATCCAACACATGATATTTGATGAGATTAAGGATAACCAAGTAGGGGATGTGAAATTAGATTGCATAAGGGAGAAGATCAAGCAAGAGAAGGCGACTAATTTCAAAATCCATGATGATAGGAGTATACGATTCAAGGGGAGGTGGTGTGTACCATAAAAGTGTAAGGAGTTAAATAAAAAGTTGATGGAAGAAGGGTATAATACACCCTATTCAATACATCCAAGAGGAGATAAGCTTTATGAGGATTTGAAAAACGTGTATTGCTGGCCTAGGATGAAAATGGAAGTGTGGCAGAATTTGTAGCCAAATGTCTAACCTGTCAGAAAGTTAAGATAGAGCATAAGAGACCACAGGGAACAGTGCAACCACTCGAGATCCCAGTATGGAAGTGGGATTGCATCTCAATGAACTTTGTCACTAGCTTACCTAAGTCTAAGAAATGGAAATGATATCATCTGGGTTGTGGTGGATAGACTTACCAAATCGGCACTGTTAAACTAATGAAGGAGGCTTGGAAAATGGAACAACTTGCAAAGTCTTACATAAAAAATGTTATGAGACTACATGGAGTTCCTAAGGATATCGTTTCAAATAGGGATTCTAGGTTTTTTACGAAATTCTGGAAAAGTGTTTAAGAGAACTTTGGTACGACATTTAAGATGAGTACAACATATCACCCTACAACGGATGGACAATATAAGAGAACTATCCAAACCTTGGAATATATGTTATGATCATGTGTGTTAGATTACCAAGGAGGATGGGAAGATAGCTAAGAGTTGGTAAAATTCTCTTACAACAATAGTTACCTTGCAAGCATTGGCATATCACCATTTGAGGCCTTGTATGGAAGGAAGTGTAGAAGTCCACTGTGTTGGAGTGACATTAGTGAGACAATAATTCTAGGTCCTTAATTAATTGAAGAAACTACGAATAAGTGAGAGAAATCCAAGCTAAGATTCAAGCTGCTCAAGATAGACAAAAGAGTTACGCGGATTTAAAGTGTAGAGAAGAGGAATTTCAAGTTGGTGATAAGGTATTACTTAAGGTTTCACCAATGAAAGGAGTGATGAGATTTGGAAAGAAAGGGAAGTTGAGTCCAAAGTACATTGGACCATATGAGATTTTGCATAGGATAGGTAAATTCTCTTATAGATTGGCATTGCCTATGGACCTTAGAAAGGTACACGATGTGTTTCACATTTCTCAGTTGAGAAGGTACATCCCAGACAAGTCGCATGTCTTACAACATGAAACTAGAGAACTAGACCTAAGCCTAACCTATCAAGAAAGACCTGTAAAGATTCTTGATAGTAAAGTGCGTAATACGCACTAGAAGGATATTAAGATTATAAAGGTTTTGTGGTTGAATCAAGAAACGGAGGAAGCGACATGGGAAACTGAGGATGAATTGAGAAACAAGTACCCAGAATTGTTTAAGGTTAGTTGAGTTATGGGGTCGTATCTCGTTTTCTTTAAGGGGGTAGAATGCGGTAGAATTTCGTGCTTTTTACCTTCATTTCAAGCATTTTTGTGCATTTTTAGTACATTTTGCACAATTTTATACGAAGTTTAGAAAGAAAGAAAACAAAAAAAGTTACAAAAAGTACAACAACTATAAGTATTAAGAAAAGTTTTTACTAAGTGGATGAAAAAGTGTAATTTTAAACAAGTTTTGAACAAAATTTTATTATTTTTGTGCTCAAGTTTCGAGGACGAAACTTCTTTTAAGGGAGGTAGACTGTAATACTCCGTATTTTATAATATTTTTATATGTGTAAATTATTTATGTTATTCAATTTATTTATAAACTAAAAATGATTCATTCATATTAAAGAATTAATTTTTTAAATATCAAATAAGTGTGTATAAAATAATATGAGTCATTAATTGAGGCAATAAAAGTGTTTTGAATTGGGTCAACATTATTTAAATTGTTGGATCAACTTGTTGGGAATTAAAAAAATACTTAAGAGCCCAACAAGTTGGCCTCAAGGGAGAAGTTAAGGGAAAGTAGGATTAGTAATGACAGTTTTGGTAAATAATTATTTTTGTTTTAAAATGGGAGATATAAATACCTTAAAACCCCAGGAATTTTACACTCTAAAATTATAGTGTCAAATTTCACAAAAACCCCAAAAGTTTTTCCTCTTGTTTTCTCTCTGTTTTTTTTTCTCCTCTTTCCCACGTCTCTCTCTCTCTCTCTCTCTCTCTCTCTCTCTCTCTCTCTCTCTCTTCCCTTCTCTTCTCTTCCCTTCACGTTTGGCAGCCACCGGCCCCACCACCGACCACCGGTGACCAACAGCGCATCACCAGTGACCACTGGTGCACCACCGGTGTCCGTGTGCCACCCGTCCTCTCCCCTCCCTTGCAGTTCGATATTAAGGAAAAAAAACTCTTTCTTTTCCTTAATTTAATTCTAGCTTGTTTTAATGAATTTAGAGCATGATTTTGATTATGTTTTGATATTGATTTTGGGTAGTTGATGTTGTTAATTTATTTCTATAATTGTCAGATTTTAATTTAATCAAAAACCCCAATTTACAAACCCTAGAATTTGGGAATGTATGTGGTTAGGGTTTGATCCTAGGTTGTTGTGGTTGTTAAATTAATGATTTAAAAATGTTTCTAATGAGTTTTAAACCCTCATTTAATGATAGAATGTAATTATACACACTATTTTTTAATTATTGTGTTAGGGTTTGATTACCCATAAAAGGGAAAAAGGTTTTAATGATTTAAATATGATTTCCTAGTCTATTAGTTATGTTTTATAGTATATTGGTAAAAAATATTAACAAGTTGAGATTACAAAACTTTATTATTACGGAGTAATACCTATTTAAGAATATATTTCATGATAAATTTTTTTTTTTTATAAGTTACTAAAAAAATGATGGTCAAAATTAGCATACAAATAGTGAAAAAAATCAAACATGTTATCTTTACTCAATAGATCTTGACTCGAAATTGACAAGACCTGATCTAACCCAAGATGGATGAGGTGGATCAAAATGGTAACCACAACAAAGGCTATGGTTCCATCCCGCCTTGAGAGGAATTTGACTCGTTATGACTCGATCCGTCAAGGGTAAGCCTGTAATTGATACAATATTTTAAGTTGACAACTCTACCTATAACTAATGTCAATTACTCATTCATTATTACACACTTATTCATCTAACCATCACTAATCATACTTTATTTAAAAAAATACACTCCATAGTTAACATACAAAGTATAATTTTTTTGACACAACATAGATTATAATTGATAATAACATATAAAGTTTAAGCTCATGATTATCTCTTTTAATAAATCTAATCATGATTTAATAAATGTATGTTCCCCTCACAAAATACTTCATACTATATTATTATTATTATTATTATTATTATTATTATTATTATTATTATTATTATTATTATTATTATTATTATTATTATTATTGTTGTTGTTGTTGTTGTTATTATAATAATAATAATTATTATTATTATTATTATTAAAGATTAGCTTGAATGTAATGCTTAGTAGGAAATTTTTGGATTTAGCATCTCTTGATTTAATACTCAATAAAATAAGCAGTGTTCTTGTATAAAAAGAAAAAGAAAATTTCGTAGAAAAAAAAAAAAAAAACAAACCCAATTAATTCGTTAGTAGGTGGCAGGCACACAAAATCAAACAAACAAACCCATAACAAACTTCCCACAAAATCAATCACCGTACTAGAAATTCTCCATTGAAGCGTACTCGAAATTCTCCATTAAAGCGTACTCGAAATTCATATACTCAATTTAGGGTGGTTTCGGTGGTGGTGCAGGGGGAGGGGGTGGCTGTCGGGGCTGGGCTGGGGGCTCTGGGTCTGGGGCCTGGGGAGTGGCTGTCGGGCTCATGGGTTGGGTCAGACACTCAGGTAGGGAATTGTTTAATTAATTTGCATCAATTGCATGTTCAGTGAGGTTGGAAGGCTTGGAGGTGTGACAGTCTGTAAGCTTGAGTGGAGTGGAGCTGTGGAGGGGACGAAGTGGATGGCTCCTAGAATTCTAATCGTTTTCTAGATTTCTTTCGACTACTTTTGATTGCAATCTGAATTTTGCTTCCCAACTTTATGACTTAAACCTAATTTCACTTTATAATTTCATTTGATTTCAGTTTATACTTTTATTTTGATTCCAATTTATAATTTAATTATCATTCAAATTTGTGCTAATCAGATCAAATTTCCAATTTACGGAGTATAGTATTTTTAGAAATCTAGTTTAATTTTGTAATTGAACATCCCAACTAAATTAATTTCTCAGTATGATCATCTTTTCTTAAATAATTACTGATTTTGTAAATGTACCTTGTTTTTATTTAACTTACAATTTGCAATCTCAATTTTGCTTTGTATATTTTCCATAGGTTGTTGATATTCGGTGCGATAAAGTCACGATATTCAGTGCAGAAATAGAAAAACACAATACCCAGCTTCATGTGAGTAATTCGTAGCATCCTTGTTCTATATTGCTTCTGCATGTATCTAATTCTTTTTATTTCTTTCTTTATTTTTATATTATTTGTTTTTTGGTTGCCGTACTCTAGTTGCTTGTGTATATCTTTGTTAGTCTAGTTGAATTTTCAAATTGTCCACTACTTTAGTTACTAACCACAATTCAATTTATCAATTGTCTGCCACTTTGAATTGCTTATCATAATTTAATAGCATTGGCTAATATGTACTCCATTTTTCGTGTATCGATGTTGAATGATTGTTTGATTACTTATCTAGAAAGAGATTTGTATTACAATGTTAGCATGGGATTGTTAGGTGCTTGTTACCATTCTCTTTGGCTGTATCTCTTTTAGGGTGTGACTCAATTTTCGTATTGTGAGATTTGTGACCTTTAATTTATCTAATTTTTAAAGTTAATAAATTTTTTCTTTTTTCATCAGTAACCCTTGCTTTGTCCCCAATACTATATGAATTTCTGTTGTTATAAAAATTGAATATGCATTTTTTATTTCTGTTGGAGGAGATGTTAAGAGTTTTCTATTAGCCAGCCACACGCAATAGCATGTAGCCACCAGCCTGGAAAGCTGCAGGCATTTTCCAGCTCTAGCAGCAGGCAGCCGCATGCAGCCGCATGCAGCAGGCAGTAGACAGCAGAATACCGCAGGCAGCAGCTTGTCGATATTGGAATAATATCATTCAAGCTTAAATCTGGTAAAAATATGCTGAATTTACGTCATGCTTAATCAAGCATTTTAGTTTTAGCAGTTTTGATTTGGTTTGATTGCAAAAGTATTGGTTAAATTGGACTTTAAAATACGAATAAGTTTGAGAATAGATTATGGAATTAGCATTGGTGTGAGCTAATTGATATTTTTATTGCTGCCATGTCATATTTTGGAATTATAACTTTTGAGAATTAGATAGATTTTAGGACATAATTAATAATATAAGCATATCATTCTCGTATGAAAATATTTCTAAATTATTTGCAACTCTGTATGTTTCAAGAAAGGTTTTGTGTTTTCAGCAGTAGTTACATGTGCAGCTGGTCTACTGAGTGCAGCTTCACCAAACTTCTTAGTATTGCTAGTAGCTCGATGTTTGGTGGGCATGGGATTAGGTGCTAGTCCAGTTTTACTCACTTGGTTTCTAGAGTTTGTATCTGCACCAAGCTTATGATTAAGATAGTGCTTAAATTTGTTTGATAATCTATATTATTGATGTCAATCCGTGAAATCATGTTTTAGATCAACTATTTTTAGTATAATTACTTGTTTAATTGCTAAAATATCACTTCATTTGCATATTGTTTTATGGCTTATGATGGTTGCAAGTGTGTTTCTGCAATCTCTTTGTAATATTGAGAAAAGGATTGTGCAACAATGAGGTATAATCTGTTTTTGGTACGATTTCTTATTATCTTACAAAGGATTGGAATACATGGACTGTCACTCATAATGATTCTCAAAATATTTAAATTGACAAGTTTTACTTTCTTGCAGCCCAAAGGAGCATATATACAAACCAGGTGATCTAACAGCCAGCCACCCGCAGCAGCAGGCAGCAGAAAGCCGACAGTCGCAGCAGCAGCAGGCAGCAGGAAGCCGACAGCCGCAGCAGCAGCTAGCAGCCAGCAGCAGGCAGCTGCTACCCACCACCAGCAGGTAGCTTAGTCATTAGCCACTAGCAGCAGTTAGCACCGTGCAGCCAACAGCTAGCAGCCAGCATCTAGCAGCCTCCAGCAGGCAGCAGTTAGCCGCCACCAGCAGGCATTCGCCATCTGCAGCAACAGCTAGCCGCTGGCAGCAAATAATCACCAGCCGCAGGCAGTCGCAAGCTACAGGCAGCAGCAGCAACTCAGGTAAAATTATGCTGAATTCTTTCAGCTACTTTGTAAAATTTATGTCATGCTTAATCAAGCATTCTAGGTTATGCAATTTTGGTTTTGTTTGATTGCAATAGTGTTTGTTAAATTGGACTTGTGAATAAGAATTAGTTTGAGAATATTTTACTTTGGGTGAAATCATGTTGGTAAGTAAAATTAGATAATTGTAAGTATTAGTATTCTCATAGATATATCATATATATACCAATTAGACACAAATATGATAAGATCTTGGGGATTTTGTGAGTTGATTGATATTTTTACGACATCCATATCAGATTTTGGAATTATAACATATGAGGATCAGATTTTGGTCTATCTTACCAAATCACAGCCTAAACCGACTAAGCTTATAGTACTATCTTTTTCATGCTCATTAATTTCTAACTGCTATTTGGAGTATCTCTTGTTGGGATTAGTTTGGTTTTGTGTTTGGGAAGTAATTATAATGGACTTAATGAAATCAATTTATATGCTTATACATTAGGTGCTATTTAAGTAATTCCTTATGGTTGTGTGTATGTGCTGCTCAGCTAGACATTGCTAAACGATGCTCTCTGCTACTCCGCCAGATGTTTCAATTCATGACAATTTGAGTGTAACGTGATTTGAATTAGTTAAGGGCCCAAATTAAATAACTATGAAGTCCCAGTAGGTCATATCTCATCTTGGCCTAGGTTGCCTGGCTTAAAGCTTCTTGATCCAATTCATCCAAGTGTGGTTGTACTTTATTTGATTTTGCAACTTTCTTTCATGTATAAGTTTACTTTATATATGGTTTTTTCTACCTTCAAACCATTCTCTTGCTGGACATATCATATTGCTTTTACCTTTTCTTGCTTTCTTGTCTGACTAGTACTTTATTGATTACCCCACTTTTTATGGTTCACAGGCTTGGAATCATTACGGGGTTTCAGAAACTGATTTTGGTGCTGGTATAACCTCTTGAAGAAGCTTATGTCCTTTGCTTGTAATGTTATTAGATTAGCTAGTAGGTTCTCTAATCTATTTTATATTCTTATATTTAATCTATTGTACATTTATGCAGTACCCACGAGAGCGTCAGACTGGTATAAACGACCAGTTATTGTTTCTTTTTAGTTTTGGAGAAAAGCTCATTTCATATCATCTGAAAGTAGCATGTGCAGGTGTTTCAGGAGGATCTTCAGAGGTACTGACCAATCTGCTGCCTTTATGCTCTTTTTGTATAATGCATTTGATATCATAATTCTTATTATTATCTAGGTTTATGTCCATAACATGGTAACTGATGATAGTTTGGTTAGTCCATCTAAATTTGAAGTATAAACTTGTTCTTGAAAAGCAAAAAAAATTCAGTGCAAACCTTTTTATAATAGTTTGCATAAGCCATTTTGAGCTTTTACAACATTTTCTTGCAGTTTTCGTCCATCACCCCATATTCTGGTATAGAAATGCAATTTTTATAATAGGGCTAGCTGATTTTGTATGTAATAACATAGGTTGGGTTTTGTAGATATCTTTGAACATGATTATGCTTGTCAAAAGTTGTGGCATTACCATGCCAGCCCCTGTTTTCTTTACTGAGCATCATTAGGATTCCCTTTAAACCCAACTACTTCATCAGCTGTTGCTGGTCAAACTCACTTTTCTAACTGTAAGTACATTCAAGTTGTCTCATTCTAGATGCAATCATCTCACTTATCAATTATGAAAAATATCTCATTAGTGAAGGCCTGATCAAATCAACATTACGAAGGACTTCTGAATTCTTACTCATTAGTACTTCGGTAAAATAAAATTTTTAAGCTAATCTATGTGAAGATTTTTTAATTAACCTCGATGATCTTAAACCTTGTAGATTCCAAAAGCAGTTTGTGCATAGTTGAATGACCCCTGCTTCCGGCTAGTAGCAGAATTCTCAAGAAGTCTTAAGAACTAGCAAGCAACATAGCATAATTTTGAGCTTTTGACATAGCTACACGAGGTTAGTTAACGAGGTGGGGTAGCTCTCGCAGAGGCGCCTAAGGAAGAAAAGAAGCTAAAGGAGGGAAGTGACGATGAGGATATGGGTTTCTCACTCTTTGACTTACATCTTTTTATTAGTATGTCAGTATGTTATGATGTGTTCCAAAGCAATATAATTTTGTTTAGATGTTTGGTAATTAGTATACTGGATGAACTTTGTTATGAGTTTTGTCGGGAACTGGTAATGCAGTTCTTAGCATATTTTTCAATAGTATTGTCTGAATTCTTTTGATGATTATATGTCATATTATCTTATATAATATTTTTTTTTTTGGAATATAAACATAAATTGTATAAGATTTTGAAGTTTTACCTATGTATAAATGAATATAATTATTTCTTAGTTTCATCGACTGTACTATAGTTATTATTACATACGTAGTATACTGTATCTTGAATTCTCTTTCTAAATTAAATATCTTGATTTTTTTTTAACAATATCAATATTATACTAAAATAAAATATTATAACAAAATTGTAAAAAAGATTATACATAATTCTTGATCTGAATACCCGTATGTAGTAATAATATTATGATTACAGGTTTACAACTTACACATTACTTCATTAAAGAATGATATGATTTTGTTACATATTTGTGTCGTTAAGTTAACAAAACTATACTCTCTCTATATTTTAATACTTGCTTTACTTTTCTTTTGCGGCCGTATTTTATTACTTGCTCATTTCTTTTTTGAAAACCTTACACAATATTTTACTAATTTCTTCCAAAACTCCGCGCATGGAGAAATGAGCAAGTAATAAAATACGAAGGGAGTAAGTAAAAGTGTTACAACTGTTGGCTTCCATAAATTAATGAAAACACATATAACAATCGTTGCCTTACATACCTTGGAAAAACGTTTCTAAACTTGTTGCATAGATAACAATTTTATTGTTGTTATCTTTTTGGACAACATGTGAAATAAATGTTGCCTAATGTTAAAAAAAGGCTACATTATATAATACTGTTGTCTTACATACACTAAAGCAACACTTTTTAAAATGTTGCATTGTATTGTGGTATAGATTGTTCAAGATCAAGGTAACAAACAAGTATTGTTGTCTTTTCCTACAAAAGACAACATTTGGCATTTTGTTGCAATATTGTGTGTTGCCTATTCTCATTTTTTTTTTTGTAGTGTGGGTTTTGAGGAGGGTCCTTTGACCAAACTCCGGCGTTGACTAATTTTTTCCGGCCAAAAAAAGTCATGTGTTGTGCACGTGACCACTGGAATCTTCTTTATGTTTTTTTTTTCCTCTTCATCTTCTTCCTCCCTTTCAATTCCACACCTCCGTGAATGGCATTTTCGGCCAAACCTCCACCCACCACACCTCCACCTCCAGCAACAAGAAACCCCATCCCTTTCCCCCACCCTTTCTCTCTTTCAAAAACACTCCAAACAAACCTTCCCTTGCACAACACCAACAGCAACCCACGCAACACCAATCAGCCACCACTCCACCAAATTCCAGCCAACTGACAACGCAAATAACAACAATTACAGCAACAATAACAACAACCATAGCAGCGTTTGCCACCTTCCCTTCACTGTAAACAACCCACCTTCATCGCCAATTCCCTGTATCTCCAACCAATCAACATCCTCACACTCCAACAACAGTAGCATCCCTTGCTTTCTTCGCCAATCGCCACCAAGCTCTACCACCCTAAAAACCCCACATCCACTTCAGAAACCCAGACCCACCACCACAACCTTACCTTGTCTCCCTTAAAACCCTTCTCCACTCTTACGAACCACTCAACAACATCAATAACATTCCACTCTCATACCCTCTCCCTCATTTTGCATCACTGGCAATCTCCCCACAATCGCACCTTTGTAGCACCAACAATCGAAGCAACAACACAAAATACCCTCTTGATTTGATTTAATTTCAGAATAGCAATATTAGGGTTGAATTTCAGAGAAGCAACCATTTTAGAGAAGTAGCACAGTAATACCCCACAACTACTGAAGAATTTCAGAGAAGGAACAACTTTAGAGAAGCAACACAGTAATACCCCACCATTTGCATACCCCCTCTGATTGCAAAAAAAATTGGCCGGAAAATCGAAAAAGGAAAATCGAGGAAGAAGAGGAAAAGGAAAAAAAAAAAAAAATTTTCAGTGGTCATGTGCACAACACTTGACTTTTTTTGGCCGGAAAAAATTGGTCAACGCCGGAGTTTAGTCAAGGACCCTCCTCACAACCCAATTGCCATAAAAGGACCTTTTGTGCCACATTTTTTATAAAAGGACCTTCCTTACAACGTCAACCACTTAAAACGACTTTTCTCGCAATTTATCCTTATTTTATCTATATATATAGATAAATTTAAATTGATTTGACAAAAGAGTACATAACAATTATTCTAAAGTAAACAATTATTTTCATGACAACAAATATATATAAAGATTTGTAAGTAATGGCATTCTAACACTTCGATTGTATTTTAATGACAAGGAGTGTAATTAATTATATATTTTTAGTTTATAACGTAAATTAATTCATAGTTGGTAACTGCTGCATTAAAACATGGATTGAGAATGAAAATTGTATTGCCAAAAGTTTAGAAATGTCAACGGCATCGGAGTATTAGTCATTGATTTCAATTCCCAAAAATCGAAAGAGGACAGCTGCTTCATTGTTGGTGATAGCCACTATCAATCACACGCCAACTTTGTCAAACTTTCCTTTTATTTGATGCTCTTGAATACTTTCATTAATTCTGATTGATTTTGAAAGATGCATGGCTGCTCCTTACTCCTTTTAACATCTCTCATTAAGGTAATAAATCACCTTAATTTAGGCCTTTGAATTACACCCTCAACCAGTTCAAAATTTGTGGGAATGAATCTAGACCGTGTGTATAGACAATATACGTAAATGTCTAGGATAAATGTATATGGCCATGTTAAGTACTAACTATGGACGTGTCCAAAATAGAAAGTTGTCCTCATGTTCAACACGTGTATTTCCCAATATAAATTTGCAGTTATATTCAACCTAGAAAAAACTAATTATCTCTAAAACCGTTATACACGCATTCATGGAGAACTAATTTTCATACAAAAAAAAAAAAAAATCAAGAAGTAATTTGACGAACGTATAATTATTGATGATGACCTTGAAACGATAAACTATATATGATGAAGCACTATGTAATTCCAAAATATTTTGTAGGAACTCATTTACTTTTAAAACTCATTTAATCTAATTGATTATACTCCTACCCAATATCAAATTGTTATAAGGTTTTTTACTTTTTTTTTTTTTTTTTTTTTTTTTTTTTTTTTTTTTGACAATACGCATTGTTGCAAGCTTTGTCGAGGTTGTATAATGACACTTCACTTATGGATGTGAATGTATAGATATTGTTTTGGAAACGTCGGAACGTTATTGTGGTTATTACCAAACCTATAGTCATCACACTTGGATTTCCCAAGTCTAGCTAGTTTTAATACTTATCATATAGAAAACTAATTCACTTTATAAACTTAACGGATGCAATTTATTATACTCCTTTCCACGATCACATTGTTGTTATATCAATACAATTGGAGTTTTTGAATGCCATTTATTTTTTCAAAATTCAATTCCCTAACAGTGTGCCAAGGCAAATTGATTGTGAATGATAATTAGATCGGATAATGACACTGATAATTAGGGTCCATTAATTTACTGAAGATTATGATCCATTAATTTAATGATACTTACAGTCTATAATTTGACTTCCAATTTATAAATGTATAGCTTAGAAAGAAGATTGAATTGTCCACATTGTTCAAGGGTTATAATTTACTATGGAAGCGTCCATAAAGTATTATGGAAGTGTCCAAAATGTGAGGATGTAGACATCTTTAGCTCGCATAATTTCCAAAATTAAATTGCGGTCGTCTTCAACCTACCCAACCTCAAAAATACCCTAATCTCTGCAACTACACTCATCCATGGAGATCTAAAAATTAAAACCCCCAAAAAACTTCATAAACTAATCCCTAAACCCTAAAATTAGCCGCTGCAATTCAATTATGGATGTTTTGTCAATGAAAGGGATCCGAAAAAAGGTTGTTTCTATAAGGTTTTTTTCGAAAAACAACCATGTAGTTTCATGGAGATTCATGGATGACTTCCAGATTTTTGGGCTTAATTAGATAATCGAACATGAAAGAGACTTGCAGATTCGTTTCATTCTTCACGTGACAGTTTTCCAAATTATTAAAAAAAAATATATATATACAACCACCATTGTTAACCTCCGTTATTGTTATCCTCCATGTAACACACAATGAAGAAGATGAAGTTTTTAAGTCGAAATTTTCAACTGGAAATTTTCAGTCGAATGATGTTGATTTTTAGAAGTTATTGATTCTAATTAGTTAAGGGTATATGTGTAAAGCACAATCTAATTAATCAAGGGTATAAGTGTAAATCACATTCTAATTATTGAAGTGTAAAAGTGTAAATCACATTCTAATTAATCAAGGGTATAAATTTAAATTTATATAGTATATCGTATATACTTATTTAAGGCGGATTTGCATACATACAAATACCATAAAATAGTTTTCGTATTTTGGAAAATATTTATTTGAAAAAAATACATAAATACAAGTATAGTGTGTAAGTGTACGGATACATACTCTTTATATACTGTTGACTTTCCCAAATTATGCCCTGCTTACTCATCAAAATGGAGTGACGTGATTGGCTGAGACTTGGGCACTACCATGGCTTTTTATATAAGACCATAATAAAATTTTCGGCATATTTGTGTTATATGTTAAATCTTGTTTTGATGTATGATGATTGATAAATATTATCGAAATATCATAATATTATTGTTAAAAAAAAATTCTTGCAAAGTTTTAATTTAAAGAACTGCATTCACATGCTATTATATGTTTTAAAAAAAGTAAACTAGATTAAAACAATATACAAATCATTGTTTAGATTGCTAGGGTTTTGATAGTATTATCACCATATTAACGTTTATATTATCGTTTGTTAGTGGAAAAGATGCTAGCATGGACCAAATAATGGGAGACCCATTACCATCATTATCATCATATGATCTTTTCAATTTCTTGAATAATGAGCTTGTGATGACGTCGCATATTACTCTCTCGACTCTTGAAAGCGAAGACGAATCGATCAATTATGTTGCGCTTGATCTACCATGCCGTTTTGACCACTACGAACAACATTTTGAAGAAAACACCAACTTGATCAA